AGGGTTTAGGGTTTAGGTTCAGGGCCTTCACTCTGGGGATAAGACCATGCGCAGATGAACCAATTTGCCCGCACATACACACGCAGACCCACACTCACGCGAGGTGTCGCGAGTGGAGCGACGGGGAGACAGGGACCCATAGACTAGGGCGACTAGGGTATCTACACGATGCCATAAAATCACCTAGGATGCACATGCTCAGGCCCCCGCGTTGCGCTGAAAACCATACGAAGGCATACATGCGTATATAGGTACAAACGTGTATATGGAATCACACACACACACACGCAGGTTGTCTTTTAACCGAGGTTGTTTCTGTTTGCACTCATACGTACATGCATGCATGCATGTAATGTAAATATGATGCAGTATGTCTTTGCCTGTGCTCGTGTTGGTATCCGTTTGCTCACGCGTGTTTGTGTTGGGCCGGGGATGCTGCTACTGCCATACATTCAAGAGCAGGACGTCTTTTCAGCCTCGTCTTCGGAGGCGCAAACGACCTCAACCACCAAGTGTGTAAGCTCTGACAGAAGTCTCCGGACTCCGGGCCGTAGGTGTTTCGGATGCGAACATGAAGCGTAAGCACTGTCGCAATGCAGTGGCACTGCACCTGTTGGGTGCTGCGGCCTCACTACTCAATACAGGGCACGCATGTCTTGCCAAGATGTTCTTTCCAGCATCACCAGCAGCTTGTCAGCAGCAACATGCACAGTCCCAAGCGCATGCATGAAACAGTCTGACTTGGACCGACAAAAAGGTTGACATGCCAAATCCCGTTCCTTCACAGCCCAGAGCGGCACTATCTTGTGACACAGCGGCATGACATTTCAACTGTGATGGATGGCAACAAGAACAATGCAAGCGATAGTGAGTCGTGGTAATGGTCATGCTCCTAGCCAAGATTAGGAGCACTTCGCATGTGATCCCATCAGAACCATTCAGCAGGTCTGCTTCGCCTTCTGCGCTCCAGGGTATAGCCTTGACAGCAATGCCACACTCCTCATGTGCGAGGAGGTCGGTTTTCGATCCCTGAGTTGTGGGGTGTAGCTTAAGGCTAAACTCTACGAGCCTTATTATGAAGCACTAGGCTCTGGACCCCGAAGAGAAGAAGAAACCATTAAGCACTATATTGAGAACAAGCGCGTTCTTATGACATGCTGCCTGGGTTCGATTGTAGGTGCAGCACCATACATCCTGAGTCGCTGCAAGGGGTTCCGCCGATCTCCGGGCCTAGGACCCGCTGTCCAAATGTGAGCGTCAACACCAAAAGCCCAAAACACTGAAGCTCAACCTCAAGCCCGAAAACCTGAAACCCATAACCCCACCCCTAAACCCCCAAAAAACCACAGGCCAAACTTAAATTTGGAAGCCGGACCTTGGGGCCCCAACCAGAGACTCGAGGGTATCCGTCGGTAGGATTGTAAATTTGTGTGCGATGTGGGTAGGGTCCCTTTTAGGCTCCTTTTTATACCTGTGCTGTACTATTGTTGGGTAACCAAAAAATGGACCCTGATTTAGGGAACTACCCAGGTATACAGTATATACCCTACTAAATCCTACAACTTATCGCATTCTTCATTGGTTATTTTCTATTACAAAGGATCGAGAACTGCTGCCATATGCAATCAGACACTCTAGATGGTATGAACCTGTTGGGACAACCGAAGGCGCTGTCTGGTTGCTGACCTGATTTCCTAAACTCCTGAACCCTAGTTCAACCCTGCCTCTGAGCTCTGAACTCATTTTGTAAACCCCAACAGTTCCTCCGGGCTTTATCGTGGGTACTTCGGGTAATATAGAAGCCTAGATAGTTACCTATATTATTCCTTAGGGTTCCTTATTATATTCATAGTGTAATGGGTCCCGAAACCCTATTAGAATTATTAAGGCCCCTAATATAGAACCCTATTCTAGATCCCTTTTTGAACCCTTTAAGGACCCCTTTAAAGGAACCCATAGGCCCGATATTGTGCTAGAGGTCTAGTAACTTCCAACCCTTTGACAGAGCACGGGTCGCGGCATGCAGGCGCCTGAGAGCAGCGCCGGCTTCAAGGAAATGGCAGGCATTTTGGGGTTCTTTAGGGTTTGCGGGTTTAGGGTTTAGGGTTCTAAAATCATGGCTTTATGACTTAGTAGCTGAATGAGTATGCTCGACACCCTTTATAGAACCGAAAGTGTGCGCGATTTGGGCCTATGAACTCAGCAACTACGATGAGGTTCCGGCTGAGTTCAGGTTGTAGGGGAGAAGTCTGCGCAGACGTTGTTTATTGATCTTCCAGTTTTTTCGGAATCAAAGGCTTTTGAAGGCTTGTTGCATGTATGGCCTGATATAGGTACCCTAGGAAGCTGATTAATATAATCCTGGTTCTTGTTCGGGTTCTCATTCCCCTGGATTTCGGACCAAAGGTGCATTAAACTTCATCCAGGATTTTCCATTTTGGGATGGTGCTGTGTGGTGGATCGAAGATGAAGCAAACTGCCTGATCACAAGGAGCTGCGACACACGATGCAGAGATGAGCTCTGGGCCCACGTGCACGCCGAAGCCCTGCGTCCGGGGGGCCGGGGCCTCATTCAGCTAAAACGCGAGCGAGAGAGAGAGAGAGAGAGAGAGAGAGAGAACCAGCATCAGGCAGGAGCAGGTGCTAGGGAGAGGGGTGCAGAGAGACAAAGCGAAAGATAGTGATTCTCAGTGAGATGAGGTGAGGTGAGGTGAGGTGAGGTGAGGTGAGGTGAGGTGAGGTGAGGTGAGGTGAGGTGAGGTGAGGTCAGGTGCGGTGAGGGTGTGTGTGTGTGTTTGTTTGTTTTTTTGCAGGGTCTGGGATCTAGTTGTTGCTGGAGAAAGTCCAGCGGTCTCATTTTGCACTGAGATACCCAATATGCGGGGAACGAGCAGCGACTGCCTGGGCAAGCGCACTGGCGAAGCGTGCACCATTAGCCCGGGCCTCACTGATGCAATGATGCAAGATGTGATTGTGTGGCGTCCGTGCACTCGGGGCAGAAAGAGTTAGCTGCGAATTGTAGATTCGAGATTTCTAGCACATGAAAGGCTTTCTTTAAGTTTCAGACTTCGGTGTGTTGCGCTGACACGGACGAGAGTCTGGAACAAGGAGCCCATCGGAACGTCCGAAGCCTCTGAAACCTTCCAGAACTCCTAGCAGCCCCCAATGTCTTTTGTTCAGGGTTTAGGCTTTACCACCTTTCCCTCCCCTTTGGGCCATCTTTTCGACGTTCCGATGCTCTTGTCAATTACTTTGCAAAAGCCATATAATGTGACGGCAGACGTCTTACCGAGAGGCGGCACTTTGGTGGACAACGATAAGGATTACGCTGCGCATGCTCGTCGTACTATTTTATGCAAAGCTGCGCAATGGCCATGACCCCAAAGCCATACCTGCGAGCCCCTGGCATAGGTGTTCGAAAAGGGCCTTGGCCGGCCACATTCCTTGCAACACATGTGTCCTTGCTACCATCCCGAACCCAACACTATAACCCCCATGAAATTGCGATGCACAGCGATGCTTGTAAAAGTAAATCTTAAACCGCCAAGGCCCAGCGGCTGTAATCCTCAACCAGCGAAAAGCGACAAGTCAAGCCCGAACCCTTAATACGAAGCCTCAATGCTTCAATGACCCAACCGAAACTCGGACGAGTTAGCACCGTTGTTCTTTGGCAGGCCTGTGTCAGACTGTCACACCCACACTTCGTCAGCCTCTTCAAACTCCGCAACCGCCCGTAAGCCCTCAAGTCCTAAACTCTGCGCCTGTGCACCTTATATGGTTTAGGGTTTAGGGTTTAGGGTTAAATTATATCCGCAACCCCTGAATCCTAAACCCGTTTGTCCGAGTGTGAGCGCCGAAAGCCTCAAACCCGGTGGTGCTGCGTTGTCTGTGTGACCTTTGGAACTGCTGGAGATGCTTGAGATGTGGGGGAGGGCCTTTGGAGTTAGTATTTAGGGTTTAGGGTTTAGGGTCAATGTATGTTTAGGGTTTAGGGTTAGTGAATATTTAGGATTTATAGGGTTTAGGGTTAATGAATATTTAGGGTTTAGGTAAAAGGGTTAGTGAATATTTAGGGTTTGGGGTTTAGGGTTCATGAATATTTAGGGTTTAGGGTTAGTGAGTGTTTAGGGTTAATGAATATTTAAAGTTTAGGGTTTAGGGTTCATGAATCTGCGCCATGAGGACGAGTGTAGATGTTTGAAAGCTCTTGTTGACCAGTTGCCGGCAAGTGGGGGGACTGAGCACGTTCGCCAGCATAACCTGTTGCTCCTGAAGCCTCGCCTGATGGAATCGAGAGCGAGAGCCAACTAACCACCGCAAACCCTGAAGTGTCCGAGTGTGAGCGCCGAAACCCTAAACCCTTAATCCTGAAACCCTAAACCCTAAACCCTAAACCCTAAACCCAAACCTAAACCCTAAACCCTAAACCGATCCTGAAACCCTAAACCCCAAGCCCGAAACCCCTAAACCCTAAAGCCCCGAATCCTTAGACCCTATAAACTTAAACCCCAAACCCCAATCCCTGAGTCCCAAACCTCGAATAATATAGGGGCCTTAATAATTAGAATAGGGCTTTGGGGCCCAGTTTACTATGACTATAACAAAGAACCCCCCAAAAATAGTATTGTGAATTATCTAGGCCGCAAACCCCTAATAAAGAAGCTTACATGATTGTCAATAGTTTTGTGGTGGCTTCCTGATTACACTTATAGTACAATATGCCCCAAAACCTTATTCGAATTATTAAGGCCCCAAGCCCTAAACCGCTAACCTTTAAACCCTAAAACCCCAACCCTAAACCCTAAACCCCTAACCCTTAAACCCTAATCCCTAAACCCTAAACCGCTAACCCCAAGGTTTCCAATGTTTTCACGCCGACTTTCGAACGTGGATCCTCGCCTGGCTTGTCCGAGTTGTGAGAGTGTAAACCCTAAAGCCCTATTCCTCAAAACCCTAAACCCTAAACCCTAAACCCTAAACTGAAGCCCGAAGTCCCAAACCCGAAGCACCCTTCCAGGTGCCGACCCGGGTTTATAAGGTTTTGGGATGGGGGTTTACCCAGAGACTCCAATATCCCTTAATTAAGGAATATACCTTAAATTATAGTAGGATCCCTAATATGATTTAAGGTATATTCCTTAATTAAGGGGTTTTGGAGTCTCTGGGTAGGGTTTGGGGGTTTAGGCCACTTCCAGGTGCCGACCTGGGCTTCGATCTCTTCGGCAGCCCATCTCTGCAGTGCCAGGCCTCTGCTTCGGTGTAGGTTGGAGAATGGTGTGGAATGGTTTAGGGTTTGGGATTGGGGGTTTTAGGGGTTTAGGGGTTTAGGTTCGGGATTAGGGGTTTAGTTAGGGGTTTAGGGGTTTGGGGTTTAGGGGTTTAGGGGTTTAGGGTTTGGGAGTGTAGGGTTTAGGGGTTTAGGAGTTTGGGGGTTGAGGGTTTAGGGGGTTTAGGTTGAAGTATGGTGTTGAACCGAGAGGCTCCCAAACCCATAATACGCCTTAAAGCATCTTTGGGTTCCTATCATCGTTTCATGTGTATTCCTTTATTAAGGGCGTTTTGAGTCTCTGGGAATGGTAGGGGTTAGGGTACAGGATTGGTGGTTTTAGGGGGCTTGGGGTTTAGGGCGTGCCTGGGTTCAAAAAAAAATGGATTGGGGGTTTCAAAGGTTTAGAGTTCACGGGAGGGGGGGGTTGGTACAGGGGTTGTGGGGCGTGGTTTAGAGATTATGCGATATTATAGGGATGTCAGGGTTGAGGCTTGTGCCGTGGGCTTGGAAAGGCTTTCGGGTTCCTTAGTGAAGGACTTGTGTTAGCCTTGTAGAAAGGTTGCCGGTCCTGGCCTTTTCTTTCGGGTTTCAATTTTTGGAGGTATGCTTGGAGGTTCTTGGGTAGTTAGAAGCGGGGCTATAAGTAGGGTAACTATAATTATAACCCGTACTGGAAGACTTCTAACCCTGCTTTTAACAACCCATGAACTTCACCTCGAAGTGTCGCGTCATGCCGTAAGCTTGAGATGGGCGGGCCCAAGAGTCTCCATATTCATATATTATGTGTCTGTTTGTGGTTGACATTTGCAGCGACAGCTTAGTATCACCGCAATAGAAAGAACAATAGCAAGATATATAAATTTGAACAATGCTGATGAGAATGATTGTCGTCGACAAGATGCAGGCTTCTAGGCCTGATACTAGCCGCAATAGTTGCGGTTATGACGCAGGCAGACAACCGTCACCAGCCATTCGAGTTAATTTCATGCCCCAGCCCTAAAACCTAATCCCTACAACCCTTAACCCCCAAACCCCCTGTAAAGCCCTAAGGCCCGAAACCCTGAGCCCTAAACCTTGATGGCTGTGAGTGCCTCGCCGGGCACATCAACACTTGATCGAACTGTTTTGGCCAAGGCATTGACCTCACTCTCCAACCCGTCCCCACACCCGATACGTTACAACATGACAGGTCGATGGCTCCTTCACCCAGGACTCGCGCAGATGTTGGTGCTAGGGTGAAAACGCTCACATGCTTCCTGCGATTATTCATCGTTCAATTTCGGTGTCTTTTGATTAGCTTTGAGCCATGATGCCATGACGCCTATACACAGGGCTTAAACCCCAAACTCGCCCCTACTACTGGCAGCGGTAGAGGGAGTCGTCGTTCATCGTTTTCGTCGTTCTTGGCGCCCTCCTGCCTCAACCAGCTGCTCTGACTGGCTAAGGAACCCGTGAAACCCTAACCGCCAATATTGCAAAGTGCAACTTGTGCGTACTCCTAGTAGTGCTGCTGAGCATTGCTGAGCGATGCCGAAATGTAGCCAGCAGGCACTTTTCATTATTGGGTATGGAGGCATTATGTGTGTATAGAATCATACTAGATGGGTTAGTAAGGCAGTATAGCTATATTCACCAGCGAATGCTAAAACAATGGTCGAATGGGGAAACCCTTTCTACTAGGACAACGTTGTGAGATAGGAAGGATCGGGACAGCATCTCGAAGCTATGTAGCTGTGTATCTTCATATATAAATACATAGAAAAATAGATCTAGGTATGTGCGTATATGTATGTATACCCTTGCATGTTTTGCACACACACACACAAGTCACATGCAGAGTGTGCATTACAAATCTTCACGAATACGTTCACACGTCTTGTCAGTCCAAGCCGCATAAGGTATACATATATTTATATGTGTTATATATATATATGTATGTATGTACAGAAGAATATATACACACATATGTTGGTATATACTGACACATGCAACTTTCAACTGTACACATGCATCATGCTTACATACATGTATCCATTCGTACATGCATGCATACATGGGCTGGCGCTTTGCGCCCAAACACCGCGGCCAAATCATACGGTTTTTGTCTGCCGAAGGACCGAGCAGACATCATTGCCTGCTATCAGGTTCCTAAACCCTAAACCTATCAAGTGTGTCAGTGTCCAAGACAACGACACGACCCGTTGAGGACCTCCCGACTGTCTCGCCTGCGGTGTGCCCGACACCCAACTACGAGTCGAGTGTGGGAAGCACATGCGCCTTGCCTGCAGCTGAAGCATTATTTGAAACGTATAAATTAAAAGGTGAATGTGAATATCAGGAGAATCTCTCTCTCCCTCTCTCTCTCTCTTTATATATATATATATTTACATATATAGATATGAGCTTATAAACGAAAACTTGCATATATATATATATGTATATATATATATAGCATACGTAGGCAAAACAAACACGTGTTGAGGGGAGGGAAGTGAATGGACATCAAGAGAAGTTTCACGACCAGCGGGGACACAGACCTGATTGAAGATTAGGCTGCGATTGCATCCGGTGTTGAAGGTGAGATGCAGCTGTTGCCGAATCGAGCGACCTCCCAGTTTAGACTTGAACGAGATAATTTCTGTGGGATGGAATTCAGAGGGTAATCTAGACTTAGAATGCCTCTACTTTATCGGGCAAACCCCATATACCGGAAAACCATTGCCTCACCAGAAGCATGCTCGCCTGCCTTCCGCAACCTCGGTCCTACTGGCTCGGGAATTCTTCAACTTATTGATTTCACTGCCGTTGCGGCAGCATGGCAATATTGGGGTCGCGTCCGAGGTGACAACAAGACAGTGGGTGCAGACTGCTGGGCTTATTGCCACTTGGTGCAGGTTTGTGGTTTGTATTCTAGACGCTTCTCCTATAGTTGAAGATCGGATGCAGTAAGGGGTGTGGGACGCAGTCTGTAGGACTTGGGGCTTTTTAGAGTGTTCGGTGTTTAGGCCGCATGGGGTCTGGTGTTTATAGAGTTCAATAAGAGACTGGGTTCAAAACAATAGAGTTCAATATAGAAGCCATAGAAGTTAAGAAATAACGACCCCTAAGCACCTAGTAGTGGTGTAGTAAAACATAACTTCTAGGCCTCACGTTGTAGACTGCAACAGTGCAAGTTTCACACCGAGAGTTACCATTGTATTTGGCTCAAGGCATGACAGGAAAACAAGGTCTACTTGCACTTCTCTGCGGTAGGCCTCTGTGTGGTT